TTCTGGTCCTTTTTCTCTGCCTTTGTTTTGCTCTTGTTCGAAAAGAAAAGGAGGAATTTTAAAATGCATTACTTGCTTGCGGGTTGCCGGGTTGTTTGCGGTGGTATTTTTTTCATAGCTGCAAACCACTTTACAAACACCTTTTGTTTGACGCCATAAAAGGATTCAATTTAGGGTTTTGAGCTTAAAATCCTTGAAAAGGATAATATTTTTGAGAGGTCCTTTAACCTGTCGCCTTCGAACAAAATTTATGTTAATGTCATAACTTGTGCTACGATTAGTTTGAACAATGGAAATATTTATTTTAAATCCTTTTCAATCTCGAAGAAATATGAAATCCTTTGTGAGACCACATGGGGGGCGTATACCTGTTGTCGTGTATCATACGCCATCCCCTACCCCATGGAAATCTGAAGATTATGGGGACTATTGAAGTTGAACTCTGTTAAGTTTTGGATCTCCAGATTGGAGGAGGGGACAAAATCATTAGAAGACAAATCTTTCGATTTGAAAATTTCTAAAATGTTTCCAATTAAGAACAGAAAATAGGAATCAAGGTCTCAGCATTTATTCACTTTGATCCAATGAATGAATCACACATTTCTATACGCAAATATTTTCTATGCCATCTTTGTTGTAAAAAGTGTGTGATTTATATTGTTGTTGCCTTCTGCTCTCATAATTACCTTCACATAAAAATTCTTTCGCCAAGTGGCTGCTAAATGGCGAACAGCAAAACAACAAAGGTGTAATAAAATCTTATGATTTATGTTCTGCAAGAGGTGCTTTTTCAATATTCCGCCAAATGGTAACGTGTCGAATCTAAAAACAAAATACCACAATGTTGTGGGAAAAATGAAAAACAAAATAAAAAGATTTTCTCAAATATTTTTGGAAAATATTTTGGACAATAAATTATTCGCTTGATATTGTTCTTGTCCTTGACTTTAAAATAAAAAGGTGAGACATTTTTGAAAATACATTGACATGCCGAAAATGCTTTTTAATAATCTATAAACACAAAATAAACCTATTGGCCCATGGTACGTATGAGTGTTATTATTAGAAAGTGTTTTTACTAAATTTGTCATATCTCTATCGGATGCACCTACATTTTCAAATTTTCTTCACTTAAGGAAAGCTAAGAAGACAAGCTATCGAGGAAAAATATAAAAGAAAATCTTAAAATTAGAAAATATAAAATTTTACGGGGTAAGAATACGAATACAATTTTCTTTGATCAAGATTTCCTCGTTAGGGAGATTATAGTCCAAATACCTTGAAAGAGTTAATAAATTTGACTTTAAAATAAAAAGGTGAGACATTTTTGCAACTACATTGACATGGCGAAAATGCTTTGTAATAATCTGTAAAAAAAAAAATAAACTTATTGGCCCATGGTGCGTATGGGTGTTTTTAATAAAAATTGATTTTATTAAATTGGTCATATCTCTGGCGGATGAAATGATATTTTCAAATTTTCTTCACTTAAGGAAAGCTAAGAGAACTTACTTTGAAGGAAAAATATGAGAAAAAATCTTAAAATTGGAAATGACAAACATTTAAGGGGAAAGAAAATAAAGAGAATTTTCTTTGAATAAGATTTAATTTTTAGGGATATTCTAGTCCAAATATGTTGAAGGAGTTAATAAATTTGACTTTAAAATAAAAAAGGTGAGGCATTTTTGAAAATGCAATGACATAGAAAGAATGTCTTTTAATAATTTGTACAAACAAAATAAACTTATTGGCCCATGGTGCGTATGAGTGTTTATAATAAAAAATGATTTTATTAAATTGGTCATATCTCTGACGGATGAAATGATATTTTCAAATTTTCTTCACTTAAGGAAAGCTAAGAAGACAAGCTTTCGAGCAAAAATATAAGGAAAAATCTTAAAATTAGAAAATATAAAAATTAACGGGATAAGAATACGAATTCAATTTTCTTTGACTAAGATTTTCTCGTTAGGGAGATTCTAGTCCACATGCCTTAATAGAGTTAATAAATTTGACCTTAAAATAGAAAGGGTGAGGCATTTTTGAAACTACAGTGACATGGCGAAAGTGCTTTTTAATAATCGATAAACACAAAATAAACATATTGACCCATGGTGCGTATGAGTGTTATTAATAAAAATTGATTTTATTAAATTGGTCATATCTCTGGCGGATGAAATGATATTTGTAAATTTTCTTCACTTAAGGAAAGCTAAGAAGGCAAGATTTCGAGGAAAAATATAAAACAAAATCTTAAAATTAGGAAATATAAAAGTTTACGAGGAAAGAATACGAATACAATATTCTTTGACCAAGATTTCCTCGTTAGGGAGATTCTAGTCCAAATACCTTGAAAGAGTTAATAAATTTGACCTTAAAATAGAAAGGGTGAGACATTTTTGAAAATACACTGACGTAGAAAGAATGTATTTTAATAACTTGTACAAACAAAATAAAACTATTGGCCCATGGTGCGTATGAGTGTTTTTAATAAAAATTGATTTTATTAAATTGTTCATATCTCTGGCGGATGAAATGATATTTGCAAATTTTCTTCACTTAAGGAAAGCTAAGAGGACCTACATTGAAGGAAAAATATGAGGAAAAATCTTAAAATTTGAAATGACAAACATTTAAGGGGAAAGAAAATAAAGAGAATTTTCTTTGAAAAGGATTTCATTTTTAGGGAGATACTAGTCAAAATAGTTCGAAGGAGTTAATAAATTTTACTTTAAAATAAAAAAGGAGATATTTTTGAAAATATATTGACATAGAAAGCATGTCTTTTAATAATTTGTACAAACAAAATAAACATATTGGCCCATGGTGCGTAGGAGTATTTTTAATAAAAAGAGCTTTTACTAAATTGGTCATATCTCTGGCGGATGAAAAGATATTTTCAAACTTTCTTCACTCGGGGAAAGCTAAGAAGATTTACTTCCACAGAAAAATATGAAAGAAATTCTTAAAATTCGAAAATATAAAAATTTAAGGGGAAAGAGAACTAATAAAATTTCCTTAGCCTAATATTTCTTCGTTAGGGAAACTGTGGTCCAAATACCATTAAATAGTTATCGGATTTGAAGATAATTCACTTAACTAATAACATCCTCCCCATTTAAGTATGAAAATTCCCACTATTTCATTAAATAGACTCTTTGGACCATGTTGCGTATGATTGTTATTAATAGAAAATACTTCCATTGAATTGCCCATATCTCTGGCAACTGCAAGGGTATTTTTAAAAATTATTTCGAATTTGAACTGATAATTAAATTCGCTTTTTAAAGAAAAATAGGAGAATAAATCCTAAAATATCAGATTTCATACCTTTTTGAAGAAAAATAATAAGTGCATATTTAATTGTTAGTCACGCCAAATCCTGGAGAACTTCTTTCCGGTTTTCTTTGACTGAGCCTCTAGTATTTAAGATTTTTAACATAAATAATCATTATCCCACGTTTTATTTCAAGAAAAATTGCTGTATTTCAAAAATAATCTATTTGGACCATAGGGCGTATGATTATTCATAATATAAAGTATCTCCATTGAATTGGTCATATTTTTGGGAGTGTAATAGACATTTCCAAAATTCTTTCAGTTATGCGAAGCTAAGAATGTTGTTCTTCAATTAAAAATGGGCAGATAAATCTTAAAAAACTAGATTACATGCTTTATTCACGAAAGAAAATCCTGTCAATTGTTTTCAATAATCACTTCATATTCGGAAGTTTTTCATTGCAGTTTTCTTGACTACACCTCCAGTACTTTTAGAGTCTTAACGCAACAAATCCCAATTTCACATTTTTATCATGAAAAATCCCGTATTTCAAAAATAAAGTCTTTGACCCATGGTGCGTATGATTATTATTAATTGGAGGTACTTCCATTGAAATTCTCATATCTCTGAAACTATAAAAGATATTTTAGAAATTCTTTCTCTCAGTTGAGGCTAAGAATAATCTCTTTTGAGGGAAAATGTAGGGATAAATCTTAAAATATTAGATAATATACTTTATTGATATCGAAGTATATAACTCATTGGCGAAAGAAATTCCAGTCAATATATTTTCATTATCTACGGCATATTTTGAGGATTTTCATTCAAGTTTTTTGACTTGGCTACTAGTATTTTCGATTATTAACTCTAAAAATCATAGTTTACGTTTTTTTATAACAAAAAATCCAATATTTTAAAAATTAAATGTTTGGCCCATGTTGCGTATGATTATTTTTAATAGAAAGTACTTCCATTAAAATTCTCATATCTCTAGAAGTACTAAAGATTTTTTTTAAATTCTTTCGGTTATGGAAAGCTAAGAATATTCTCCTTTAATGAAAAATACGGGGACAAATCTTAAAATTTAATTCGATGGAAATTTTTTTGAAAAGGCACGATCCATGGCCCATGTTGCGTATGATTATTTTTAATAGAAAGTACTTTCATTTAAATGCCCATATCTCTAGAAGTACTAAAGATTTTTTTCAAAATTCTTTCAGTTATATAAGGCTAAGAATATTCTCTTTTGATGAAAAATACGGGGACAAATCTTAAAATTTAATTCGATGGAGATTTTTTGGCAAAAGCTGGAAACCTACATTTTGTTAAAGTGCCGTTTTGAAATTCGTTTAATTTATTGTCCTTTTAAACCTCAAAAAAACCTTTAAGTTTAAGATTTTTAAAAATTCCCCATAAAAAGTCTTTGTTTTGTCTTAAAATATGAATTATTTAAATTTTTAAAACATTGGCCTAGGGTGCGTATGATTGTTATTAATAGAAGGTACTTGTATTGATTTGCTCATATCTTCTGAAGTTTTCAAGCAATTTTGAATATTTTTGCGGATATTGAAAGCTAAGAATATGGTCTCACATAAAAAAATATTCTCGAAAAAACCAAAATTTGAAAAAATATTTAAAAATTGACTTTTTATACAAACTTTAATATTTATTTGTTTATTTTTTTCTGACATTTGTTTTTTTTTTTTTCTCCTCCTTCCAGAGCCTCTTCGAATTGGAACTGGCTGGCTGTAATGAGGTCACTGAAGCTGGCCTCTGGGCATGCCTGACACCGCGCATTGTTTCATTATCCTTGGCCGATTGTATAAATATTGCCGACGAGGCTGTGGGTGCTGTTGCTCAGCTATTGCCATCCTTATACGAATTTTCATTGCAAGTAAGTAGCGGGTGGGAGGAGAAATGTGGAAGATAAAGTTTTCATATTAAAATTTCCCATCTCTTCCTTCTGTTTTCTTGTTTTTCTTAGGCCTATCATGTCACCGATGCTGCTCTGGGCTATTTTTCACCAAAACAAAGTCATAGTTTAAGTATATTACGCTTACAATCCTGCTGGGAATTAACCAATCATGGCATCGTTAATATCGGTAAGTAAGAGATGCTAATTTTTTTAGGGGGAAAGGAATTTTCCTCATGTTTTCCCCGAGGGTGTTGTTTGAGTAATTATCACAGAGGCAAGTTGTAATAAAATTGTGTTGTTGGGTATACAGCAATTTCCATTGCCTGCATTTAGGCGTTGACATGCACTTTAGCCAACATTTCCCATGAAACCATTTGCTTTGGAGGCATTGTGGCCGAGACCAAAATCAAAGCAAAGAAAAAAATGTCCTGGCAAATTTCTATCCCCTTTCTCATCCTCCACATTACCCACAATTTAACCTTGTAGTTCAGAGGAGCAATAATTGCTGTTTTCCTGTTCTGTTTGGGTTTTTTGTTTGCTCCTGTCATAACCACAGCTCCAACAAATGCCACAGAGTTCGACATGAGACCAGAATATTTGTGTTGAACATGTACTCTGCCCCCCATAGCCCACCTCTTCTCCTTCAAACATTCATTCGTGGGTTTACTTTGTCAATATTCCATTCTGTATTTGGCATTTAGTGGCCAAGTTCCTTTGCTGCTATTGTGGCGGCACCGGCAGTTTTCACTCCACACTTCATTATTGTGGCGCAAGAACAACACCCCTCGATTTCGTAATGAAATCGGAATTCTGTTCGGTTTTCGCATTGCATGTAGAACGCAAATCATGAGTTCATAGAAAATAACCTTTGGGGAATTTGGTTTTTCTAATGATGAAGGTTATTTGATGGTGGAAATTGTGTTCACAATGGAAAACATGGAGGTAGAGCTGGGAATTTTCACTCCAGGTTTAGAAGAGAGAAATGTGTTCTCCAGCTGATTTAAAAATTTCATATGGTTTAGGGTGCAAATTAGTAATTGATTTAAAAAAATATATAAGAAAGTGGAAAAAAAGAATTGGAGTCGAAATAATAAACCTTGATTTAAAAATCGTCCCATAAAAATATTTATAGAAATTGATTGGATTTTTTACAATCTCCTGTATTTTAAGAATTTTTTTCATATTTTTCATTAAGAAGGAATATTCTTAGCTTTCCATATCCGAAAGAATTTTGAAAATATCTCTTAAATTGCCAAGGTTACGATTTATTTACCAAAAGTACTCCCTATTAATAATAATCATACGCACGATGGGCCAAAGTGTTTATTTCACGAATTTAGGGCAATTTCCTTACGCAAACGTACAATTATTATAAAATCAGTGAGGAATAATAAATCTATGGTAATAAATGGAGCGATAGATGGATCTTTGGCAAAAATTGAAATACATATTTTAACTAAACAGAGCACATTTTCATAATTTTATAATTAAGTAGAATTTTTCATGATCTCCATAATTTTAAGATTTCTTTCCACATTTTTTGTTAAGATAGAATATTCTTAGCTTGCACTATCAGAAAGAATTTTGAAAATATCTCTAAAATTGCCAATGTTATGCCATTTTTACTAAAGGTACTTCCTATTAATAACAATCATACGCACTATGAGCCAAAGTGGTTATTTCACGAATTAAGGTCAGTTTCCTTACGCAAACGTACAATTATTATAAAATAAGTGAGGAATAAGAAATCTATGGTGATAAATGGAGTGATAGATTGATATTTGGGAAAAATTGAAATATATTTTTAGCTCAACATAGTACATTTTCATAATTTTATAATTAAGTAGAATTTTTCATGATCTCCATAATTTTAAGATATCTTTTCACATTTTTTGTTAAGACGGAATATTCTTAGCTGGCCATATCTGAAAGAATTTTGAAAATATCTCAAAAGTTGCCAATGTTATGATTTATTTACTAAATACACTCCCTATTAATAACAATCATACGCACTATGGGTCAGAGTGTTTATTTCGCGAATTAAGGGCAATTTTCATACGAAAATGAACAATTATGATCAAATGAGTTAAGAATAGTAAATCTATGGTGAGAATTGAAGCGATAAATGGATCTTTGGCAAAATTCTAAATATTATTTTCAGCTATACAAATCACTTTTTCGATGATTTTCCAAAGTTATGATATTTTTTTTTACAAACTCCGGTATTTCAAGATTTCTTTCTACAATTTCGTCTGGGAGCGCACATTCTTAGCTTGCCATATCCGAAAGAAATTTGAAAATACTTTTAAAACTGCCAATGTTATATTTGATTTACTAAAAGTACCCCCTATTAATAACAATCATACGCACTGTGGGCCAAAGTGTTTATTTCACGAATTTAGGGCAATTTCCTTACGCAACCGTACAATTATGATAAAATAAGTTAGGAATAGTAAATCTATGGTGATAAATGGAGTGATAGATAGATATTTTTGGGAAAAATTGAAATATATTTATAGCTCAACATAGTACATTTTCATAATTTTATAATTAAGTAGAATTTTTCATGATCTCCATAATTTTAAGATTTCTTTCCACATTATACTATAATAAAATGGATAAATTTCGGCACTCATGGAACTCAAAATCAAAATTGTTTTTTTTTTTAAAGTTGTATATTTTCTCTGGATTTACACATTTTTGCTAAACAAAGCACATTTTACATGATTTTACTAAATTAGTAGGAATTTTTTGCAATCTCCGCATTTTTAAGATATATTTCCAAAATTTTCTTAAAGAAAGATTATTCTTAGCTTGTCATATTCGAAAGAACTTTGAAAATATCTCAAAAATTGCCAATGTTATGTTTGATTTACTAGAAGTACTTCCTATTAATAACAATCATACGCACTATGGGCCAAAGTGTTTATTTCACGAATTAAGGGCAATTTTAATTCACGAATTAAGGGCAATTTCCAAACGCAAACGCACAATTATGATAAAATAAGTTAAGAATAGTGAATCTATGGGTAAATTAAGGGATACTTTGCAATTAAAATGGATAGGAAAACTTAGGACATTTTATGTTTAAATTCATTTTGGGTACATAGTATTTGCTTATTTACCTTAAAATTTGCAATTAATGACCCAGGAAAATAAATAATTATAACATATCTTGTCTAACTTATCCTAACTCTACATTTCCTAGGCGAAATTCTCATTATTTCAGGAAATAATCCCTTTGACCTATGGTGCGTATGATTGTTATTAATGGAAAGTACTTTCATTAAATTCATCATAACTTTGGCGATTTAAATGGTATTTACAAATTTATTTCGGATATGGAAAGCTGAGAATATGCTCTTCTTGAGAAAAATAGGAGAATAATTCTTAAAAACAAACGTTATGTAATTATTACATAAAAGAAATGCATGTATAATTTTTTTGAAGAATAATAAACTGACAATTATTATTTTGGCATAGGTATCCCAAAAGATCCATTTCTTTTGAACATTTCCAACATAAACCACTTTTAAATGCATAAAATATCCACTATTTCAGTGATTTACATAGGTGGCCCATTGTACGTATGAGTATTATTAATAGAAAGTTGTTTCATGAAACTGGCCATAACATCTGTAGTTTTGTGGTTATTTTAAAAATTCTTGCAGATATGAAAAGCCAGCAAAACACTCTTCCTGAGAGAAACGAAACTATAAATCTTAAAATAATAAGTTGTTCCGATTTACAGAGAAAGAAAATAGGTTAAAATTTGATCTTAAGACAAACTCAAAAAAATGTATTTCCACATCCATTTTTAGATAACGAGAATCACGTTATTGAATAACCTTTGAGGTTTTTGTTAGAATATTCGTTGCCATATGCCCTTAACGAAATATATATTATTTAACATGTACACCAAACACGAATCATTTTTCATTTTTTAACAAAAGAGGAGTTGCGTCTTAGTTTATTTTTTAATTTTTTATTTATTTTCTAAAAGTTAATGCCTTTTTAAGCAGTTTTCTGCAGGACAATACGTTGAAGCTTTTTGCAGGGATTCACAATTAAAATTATATTAAAATACCAACGCTTCTTGTTATAAAACAAGATTTAATTATTTGGCTATCAGAGCGTATGATTGTTATTAATATAAAGTAAGTTCATCAATTTCCCCATAACTTTGGTAATTTTTGGAATATTTTTGTAATTTCTTCGGCTCTGAAAAGCTAGGAATATTGTCGAAAAATGAAAATTCAACGCTTCAAAAAATGTGTTTGCAGATTGTTGAGTAAAATAGATTTTAATGGAATGTAGTTTTTTAAATGTCCGTAAATGTTTCCATTTTTTCGGCTTTGGAAAGCTAAAAAAGTTTTTTTGCAATTAATTGGTAAAAATAATAATATTTCTTCTAAGCCTATACCGACGTATCTTTTTTCATACTTTGGCAAATATAAAAAAATTAAACGTGTTTATGTTGCGATTTTATTTTTTACTTTTTAATTTTTTTAGAAAAGTTAATATTTATTTGAGGCAATTATGTGCCGGAAAATTCGTTGAAGCTATTTAAAGGGATTGGCAATTAAAAATTACACTAAAATACCAACGATTCTAGTTCTAAAACAAGATTTAATTATTTGGCCATTATAGCGTATGATTGTTATTAATATAAAGTATGTTCATTAATTTCTCCATAACTTTGGTAATTTTGGAGATAATTTTGTTATTTCTTCAAATGTAGAAAGCTAAAAATATTGTCTTAGAATCGAAATTAAAACCTACATGAAATTTGTTTGCAGATTGTGGAGAAAAATTAAAACTAATAGAATATATTTTTTTTAAATGGCCGTAGCTTTTTAAATTTCTCTCGAATTTTTCAATTTTTTCGGCTTGGGAAGGCTCAAACAGTTTTGTTGCAATAAATTGATAAAAATAATATATTTCTTCTAAGCCCATAACGATGTATTTTTTTCATACTTAGGCAAATATAAAAAATTAAACGTGTTTATGTTGCGACTTTATTTTTAACTTTTTTATTTTTTTAAGTTAATATTTATTTGAGGCGATTATGTGCCGGAAAATACGTTGAAGCTATTTAAAGGAATTGGCAATTAAAATTATACTAAAATACCAAGGATTCTTGTTATAAAACTAGATTTAATTATTTGGCCATCGGTGCGTATGATT